GTTACATTTTTCCAACAGAGATTCAAATTAAAGTAAGCATTAATGTTAAGATTTTCATGGATAGGTGGTACATCGATATTCATTTAAATGAGAAAGCTATCTTTGACTCACATTGGATATGGGCGGGAATGTAGGAAGCGGGTATGCATTTAGAAAAGAATGCATTCGCACCTTCAATCTATCCACACACTCACGCCCACACCCCAAACGCATCCACCTCTAGACCTACATCCGTACCAAACCTATTTCAGCATCAGTTGAATATCAAACTATTAGCTAAAATGTAGAGTAGTTCTGGGCCACGATTTTTTGAGACAAAGACTAGACATATTGTATTGACATGAGACCAGTCAGAAAACGATTGAAAATTGAAAAAAGAAGACCACCACGGATGCTTCAAATGGCTAACTCTATTGATAGATGCTAAACTAGTTTAAATCTATATTTGCAGATAAAGTGAGAAATTAGGTCCAAACATCGATACGATTTGTTACTTATCTTGAGGTTGTGGCAGTTGGTGTCGGTGTCTGTGAGTATGGGTGTTTCTGAGATCGATACTTACACGCACACCGACACCTACACATACTCATATCCACCCACCCGCGCACTCATCCATTCCCACACCCACACCCGAACTCACGCGAAAACGGTAATTTTTAAATGAGAACCAAAATCAAAATCAGGTAAAACGTGGGAGAAAATCAGTGTTCACAATAACTCTGCATGTTTCTTTTGATTAGATAAAATTATTCAAACGTCTTTGTAAACTGAGATATGAGGAAGCCCCAAGGGGAAGAAGCAAGGCATCAGGAATGCGTACTTCCCTCGTACTTGCTCGTATTTTCACTGTACTTCCGTAGTACTACCTTGTACTTCCAATATACTTCGCTATACTTCATTATACTTAACTTGTACCCTGTTATATCTCGTTTCACTTCTTTATAAATCGTAGTACTTTCGCATAGGTATGCACCGAACTCGAGAATTGGTCGAGATTTCCAAGTTCGGTTGTTCCAGGGGGTCTAATCGATATTAAATTTCGGCTCAATCCAAGTCTTCTCTTCAATATTATACAGTTTCACAACCATATAGATTTCACTAGTGAATTTGTACCAAAGGTATATGAAGACCGAGGAAGTCGAATCTACAAATAGATTTTGAAAATTTTGAATTGAATTTTTTCGCTTTGGAGAAGATTTTTCGAGAAAATAATGATTTGTAGTGAAGGTTGATGGAGACAAATTGAGGTCGGGGAACTTGAGTCTGCAATTGGTTTTTCAAAGTTTTCAGTTAATTTTTCTACAATTTTTTTTCATAGAAACATGTTGTTGTGTTTTAGAAAATTTTTTTTAAAGAAAAAATCTTTCTTTTTAACAACACTGTTTTCTAGAAAACGATGTAAAAAAATTGAATTCGAGATTTCGAAATTCTAATTGCAGATTCGAATTCTCTGACTTCGATTCACTTTCATCTATCTCTATTAGATATCTTTATTATCTTAAAAACTCCTTTCCCTAACCGGAAAAATCGAATTCAAACTGTTTAGAATGTAACGTTAGATTGGAATTTCCCAACCCGAATTCACTTTCGCCAACCTTTATACAATATCGTTATTTTCTCAAAAACTTCTTTCGCCAGCTTAAAAAATCTTATTCAAAATTTTCTATATCTATTCCTAGATTCGAATTCCTCATCCTCCATTTTTCTTTAGTAAAAATTACCTAGTGAAATCTATATGCTACTGGAATTTTATAAGATTGAGGGAAAGATTTTGATTGAGCCTAAACTTAGTATCTATTGAACCCCGAGAACGACTGAACTCCAAGAATGACCGAATACCCGAAAGCTCGGCTTCGGTGCATGCCTACTTTCACAGTACTTCATTCGTATTTCACTATGCTTAAATTATACGTCACTGATATTGAAGCTAGGGTTTGTCTTCACTAGTGTACACAATTTCACATGAAGGTAAAACACTTTCTGATTTCTATGAGTTCTTTAACCGTCGCTGCATTCATATAATTTGTGATAATGTCGATTAATCTGAAATATTAGAAATGTGTTTTGCACGATTAAGGAGAGACTGTATGAGATGATTAGAATCAGTTTTTAGTCACTAACACATCGAAATTTGATGTTAATCAATAGAGATGGACTCACTTTTTAAGAGAAAAACCTGATTAAATGAACCGCACTTTTTGATGAAGAATATGTAGTCTGGCATTATCATTGTGCCATCCACATATAAATTTCTTATTGAATGAAGGGTAAGTTCATATAACTTTCAAAAATGCGAAATAAATAATAGTTGCCGAGTGGAAACAATCTTAAAGAAGTTATCGCAGTAGGTATGTTAGCGTTCTCGTTTCTGAGCGTTCCATTTCAAGGAACGAGAAAGTCTCTCAAAATTGCATTTTCTATGTTTCTTTCAAAACGACGAGGTTTCTTGACATGTTCACTTGTATTCTTATATTTGCAATCGGGTTCTCAAAATTTTGAGTCTACTTTTTTTATAAATAAAAATATATTTTTTAGTAAAACAGTCAGTTTCTAAGAAACAGAAGTTTTTTTGCAAAAATAGATCATTTTTTGCTAAAATTTTTTTCAATGGAAAAAATTGACTCAAATTTTTGAGAAGCGAATTTTAGATTCGAATTCTCTGATCTTGATTGTCTTTCATCAAATTTTACAAAAAAAAACGTTATTTTCAGAAAAGATCCTTTCCTTGACAAGACACATCAAACTCAAAATTTTGAAAAACAGATTGCAGATTCGAATTCCTTGACCAAGATTGCGTTTGATCACACTTTATAAAATACCGTTGTGTTTAGGAAATTGCCTTTCGTTCGATGAATTCGGAAGCCTTCTATTAAAAGTTAAGGAAATCCTTGTTGCATTCCTGTTCCTTGGAATGGAACGCAAAAATTACCTTGCTACATAAAATTATCTCGTGAAAACCGTTATTAGATTCATTATGTATCATGGTTTCGAATAATAGCGTACTTAACAAAAACTGTGATATTGCTATGAGAGATCATTCATAGTCCAACATGGTTCCTTGTGCTTCATCGTTTCTTCCCTTATAATATCGTGTTCTTGATCTGTATTTCTCTCGTACTTCCGTTTTAATTTCATGATGCTCCCTCACACTTCCATGATACTTCCTCGCACTTCCATAATACTTCCTCGTACTTGAAAATATTTCGGAAGTATCTGAAGTCTTCCTATTTTCCCCTTGGGAAGCCATCAACAGACATAAATTCAATGCACTTAAAAAGATATCTCTGAACAGTTAAAACCAATCTCGTTTCAAAACCAGTTAATTCAAAATTTTTCGAACATCGATTCCATTATGCATGCAACTATTCAAACAAGATTAACTAAACAATTTATAGATGTTGCTGAAGCAACAAGAGTGAATATAATTGAGCTCTCTCTTGATACAGTTGAAGGACAAATGCGTCAATATAAAAAAAACAATACAATATGGAAATGGATGGGTGTGGGGTGTGAGTATTGGTTTGTGTGTAAGTATCAGTCTCAGAAACATTCATACCCATACGTACACCACACCCACACTCACGTTCACACGTACACCCTTTCATTGATTTGAACTGAACCGTTTTTTTTCAAAAGATTCGTCATTCAATCCTCTACAAAACCGTGTGTAAAAGATGTTGGGAAACTACAAAATGGCAGAGTTCTAAAACGAAGAAAAAAGGTTTAAAAATCTTCAATTTTCAAGTTCAAAATGTATTCATATTTGAAGTATGTTTCGACAATTTATACGCAATTTTAAATTACGAGAGAACCATTTCCTGGTATTTGCAAATATGCTCTTTCCAATATGTTTGAAAGAAATTTCTTTGAAAGCGGTCTTCGCCTATTGGACAGATATTTTCCGAAAACTCTTCCAAAACGTCTTAACTTCGGTTCCCAAGAAAACTTATCGCATACAGAACTTTTTATGACTCAAACGAGTGTACAGGAATGTTGTCGAGTATGTTAACTTTCAGAGCAAAAACAAATCGTCAAAAAATAACGCTTTTTTACTGAATGGTATGCATTTTTGTCCAAGTATCAAAACAAGATTTTAGAAAAACCGTTTTTTGTACTTGAAAGTTGAAGATTTCTGAACCTTTTTTCTTCGTTTTATAACTTCGCCGGTTTGCAGTTTACAAAAAATCTTTTACACATTCTTTCGTAGAGAATTGAATAACACATCTTTTGAAGGAAAGGTTCAATTCAAATCAATGAAAGCTAGAAAAGATATTCAGAAAATAATGAGACCACCATTATTTATAGTCTACCCGTTGGAGGATTTTAAGAAAAATTAATGGAGTATACCAAACTTTGGTTTCAGAAGAGTCGAATCTAATCCCGGGTGGAAAAAAAAATATTTTTTGATCAGAGAAGGGTCGGATCCGGATGCAAAAATGGTGGACCCAATGGTCTCTAACTTGGATATTGTTTTGACCAGTAGTCGGTTGCAGTTTATTGAATCTCATACTCATAAAAATTAGAAATCTGAAGTAGAATGTTTATTTGTTTATCTTTCGGTATGTGAACAATACCATCAAGATATTGAACAAATATTTGTCTCTTTGACACCTAAGGTGATTAAGAAACATAAAAAAAAGTGTGATGTGATAGAAAAAAGAAGAAGAACTTTGCCTTCTTTCCATCCTATATACACGATCAATTGAAAATAAACCTGAAAACAATAATAGACAAAGATAATAAGCACACTATGCGTCAGTTGCTCCGTAAAGCATTGATGAAAAGCTGAAAATACTATGGGAACGGGGAAAGGAGCAGAGCGTTCTTGAGAATGATGTATAAAAGATTTCTTTTAACATTATATTTTCATTTTCTCAAGGTACAACGAAATGCGTTCACGGATTACTACTTTGTTTGTCGACAATTGGAATCTATTTCGTAAGTACTTCTTCTCAGAAGAACGTATTTGTGCTCGATGTAAGCTTTTACTATTGATCATCATGGAATTGACAAGTATTGGTCTGGGTGTATTATTAACATATTGGAATAAAAATTTTATGAATTCATTTCAAAACTTCGATCAATCTGCCTTTCGTCGTTCTCTATTACACTTCACTTTCATTGCTATCCCAATTATAATCTTATCAGTTTACAAAGATTATCTAATGCAAGTTTTCCAACTTCGTTGGCGGCGTTGGTTAACGAACGATTTTCTCAATGAGTATTTAACTAAGCATGCTTATTATCATATGTCATTGTTAAAAGATGATGATGAAACAACAAATGATGGAAAAGATAATCCTGATCAAAGAATATCGGTTGATATTGACTTATATATTGAAGCTATTTATGCATTAGCAATGGGTCTGCTGAATTCATTTGTTTCGTTAGTATCCTATATTGCTGTGCTCTGGTCTCTATCGGGTGTGATAAAGATAGGAATTGCTGGAAAGTTTTCGCTCGAAATAAAAGGCTCTATGGTTTGGTCTGCTCTTATTTACGCCGGATTAGGTAAGAAGCTAGTCTATCTCTAAACGAATAATCACTTATTTAGTTTTTCATGCAACAAAATGATAACTCAAAGCGAAGAATATTGAAGAGTGATTCTTGCAATGAATGATAGAAATCGATAGAGCGTCATGTAGAACATATGGTCTCTTATCTTTACGAAAATATTGATTCTAATATAATTGAATCCAAGAAGAAATTCTTTGAGTACTCCTGTCATCTGTATACAAGTTTGAGTAATTTTTTAAATACTGACCTTGCCGACAAATCCTTTGCTAAACTACTCATGACCCCTATGGCTCGAACTTAACTTTCATATTTGTCTGATGAACACTACAGAAGGTCACGAAATAGACCCCTGACCCAATGTTTTTATACTTATTTTTCACTTTTTTCGTCACTAAATGCTTAGTTTAAGTAGACTTGAAATAATCAAAATACTTTACGGTAAAAAATGATGTGAATTTCAAGTACAACTAATACGATAGGTCATATCGATCCCATAAATCAGTCCTATCTATATTCCAACACGTAATGTCCTGTAGTGCAAAAAACTGTGTTTTTCAAAGCAAGCAAGTAATTGACAGAAACGATGAAGTTAGAACAAACTTGCCGGGAATAACAGTTGCAAGTAAAACTTTCTCCGATTCTTCATTTTCGATTAACGAGTAAATTGTAGAGAAGCAAATCATTTGTTGGGAAAGAGGCAATCCTACGGATGTACTGCAGTTTTTCTGAACAAAACCTTTCTTTGATCTTGACCATCATCCGAGTGAATACGCAGCAGTGTAAACAGTTTGTGAATAGAAAGATGAAATTTTTAATACTGAAAGCTTCACAATGAACATTTCAGCTTTAGGCACACATTTTTTTTGACACTCCTGATCCTACTGGTACAGAATCTCTGTAAAAAAAGTTACTTTTGGATCCAGGTTAGATCAGATTGAACAAAAGATGAATCGAACCAGGCGGTTTTCCAAAATTTTTGAGTCGTTTTATGCTAGGTCATAAAACAGTGATCCATTTCGAGGCCTTTAATACAGTTATTCATTGAAAGGTTCAGTTAATATTCGATATCACAAAAAAAAGTTTACAAAGTTCAATCGCCACAGGTTTTATCGCTAATTATCGTAGCTTATTATTTGAGATCAATATCGATCAATGGCCAGTCAAAGTAAACGGAAATTCTTTTTGGAAAAATACAAATACTTTCGCTTGAGTGATATCGAACATAAAACATGAGTTTAATTTGAATTCTATAGACGTTCGAAATGTTTTTTCTTCTCTGTGCATTAAGAAAAAATGAGTCCCATGTGTCGTGATCTGTCACATATTAAAGTACGAAAACAGGTACTCGTTGTGACACATTTGGTTTAGCAAAAGCACGACACATGCGACGCACTCTGAAACAGTGGTTCAAATCTACTATAGAGCACATTTTTCATTTTGTTTTCTGTAAAAGCATGTTATGACATCTTTTCAACTTACATCCATTTAATTATTTCTATTCTGAATAATTCAAACAAGTCAGATCTTAAGATCTGGCCGGATTTTTTTCGGTCCAATCTCCACCAGACCATTTCAAGATAGTCTTCTCTCGATCATTGATCGAGATTGGTATGTTTTCGAATAATCAAGAAATAGTTTTGAAAAAAATATTTTGAAAATGTAGGTTTCGTACGTTTAATGATGTTGTTTATATACAGCTGTGTATGTATAACAGAACGGCGAAGGACTGGCCGGCAGACACAACACGGCATATTCTACTTATAATAGATTCTAATCACGGCGCATTTTTATACTAAAAATCACAACACAAAAGTTAGCGACAGCTAAACGCGAAGCATTCTATTTTAATGTGTGTAAAGTTCTGTAAATTTTGATTGGTCACCATTTTGAAACGGTATCTTTTGACTCCAGATTAAGATTCTGTGCATCATTTTAGAACTCGAATTTTCCATTAAGGTACTTTTATTACTCATGTAATTGGTCGATCTCTCTTTCACTTGAAATATCAGCAAGAACAATGTGAAGCAAATTTTCGATATGGACTTGTTCGTCTTCGAGATCATACAGAATCTATCGCTTTCTACCAAGGCGAATTAAATGAAAAGACATCACTGGAATCATTATTCGATAAAATAATTTCTAATTTTCATCAACTTATTCGTCGATTATTTATTCTCAATTGGTTTACTTGGTTCTATAAAATATTAACAATTGTGTTTCCATTTCTCATTGCTGCTCCACGATATTTTTCACGTGAAATTACACTCGGTGATCTGATACAAATAGCATTGGTCTTTAAAAATGTATATGAATCACTTTCATTTATACCGAGGTCCTACCAAATGATTGTACGATGGCGATCAGCTACAAAACGATTAATTGAATTTCAATATGTTTTACAAAAATTACATATGGCTAAGCAAAAATCTGAAATTCAGATTCTTTATTTACCAAACGAACGATCGTTGCGAATTCAAGAGTTAATTGTTCGATTACCACAGAAAATCGGTGAAGATCAAGGTCGACTTCTCATTAATAGTGTCAATTTAGTGCTTGAACCTTATCAAGTTATACTTATTACAGGTAAAAGAAACGGATGCAATTTACTTAAGTTTCACAGTTGAGACAATATGTGCGTGTTGACTATTGCTCGGAGACCCAAGTAGAGCATTACAGTGGCTAGAAACCATCATGAGCGGCCGAAAACATTAATGTATACTACCTTTCAATATATCGTACAGTAGAGTTGTCAGTTTTGCATTTCGATTCCCAGAAACGGGGAACGTCAAGCATTTTCACATGAAAAGGATCGGCAAAGGTGTGTACATACCATGTTTCATCGATACAACGCTGAAAAAAAGGAGTTTGAGATGTGTTCCTGTCTCTTAGGAGCGCAACGATAGGCAACTCAAAGACTGACATCCCTATTGCTATGATATTTAATTTGAGATGAGTTTTCTGTTAACAATAGCTAAGGTTAGAAAGAAAGTTTAGATTTTTGAGTAGGAGTGTTCGCATTCGCCTTCCATAACCTTTTGTTTCTAACGAACGAGAACCCTGACATCTCTAATGTACAGTCGTAAACAGTCTTATTCTTAAGTGGTGACATGCACCGTTTTTCGACTATATTTTATCGTGTTGTAAGCGGCTAATCGCAACAGACAAACGGTCAAAAATTACAGTATCCAGTGTTTGATAGCTGTTTCGAATACGTTGAAAAACAATCTTAATACCGTGCACATCGGGCAGCGAAAGAATTTAACTTACACCTTCGTTTACGGTCGTTTAGAAACGTTTCCTAAGTACGTAATCCTTGAATTGACTTGCTTCTCATTTGGTTTGCACCACTTGACATGTTTTCCAACAGAATCTTATGTTTGTTCAACATAATATTTCATTCAAATATCCTATTTGAGATTATAGACGAAGAATCTATCCGGGTCTTTCCAACACTATTCAAAATGAGCATACGATGGTTAGGCCAGTTTTTTATGTACAACGTGACTTCAATAATCAAGTTTTAAAAAAGAATATTCTTCGAAATTTACAAAGTCCAACCAGACTATTAAATGCAAACTTTTTAACTGATAATGAATTCGATTCTTACGGTTTTAAAAATCGTACATTGCATTATCTAACCAAGATATTTAAAAAAAAATACTGAGTGACAACTTATTTCCTTTAGAAATCGATTCTTGGCAGAATTATATATTTATCTATTTTTTATTTACGTCGCTAAGAACTACTTGACAATTCTTAAACAGTTTCCAACTTACTTTAAAGTTAATCAACTAACATTTTGATGCCGCAACTTGATTTTTGCTTAGAAAAAGTAAATGTACTAAAAACGAAATTCAGAAATCTTAAATACTTGAAGAATGATTTTCTCTGTTAATTCACATTAACCAGAATCTTTTTTCTCAATAACTATATTCTGTGGCCATTCAGGTCTAGAAAAACATCTCACTCATTTCGTCTTCCTGTAGAAATTCCGAAGAAATTGAGTATAAATGGAATTCAGAGGTCTTGTCAATATTAGAAGCAGGTCTGAGGAACTGTAATGTCATTTTATATCTTGATCTAAAGTTTGTTTTGATTGGAATTTTTTTATTCCTTTTGTTCTCTATTTCGTTTCGATAAAATGAGGAAATTTGATTGATAGCCTCTGTAATTCTTTGAGTAAATTTGAAATTTACATTTTTGATTTTCAGAAATTCATAGTGCGAAGATATTTTTCATTCACTTATGAGCACTACAGAAAGAGCAACATGATGTTTTTTTTTTGTGTCTCTTGACGATTTGGCTATTGTTAGTTTTATTTATAGTATATCCTCATAGCCTCTAGTTTATTAAAAGATGATAAATACTTATGAACGATCTTCAATTTATGTTGCTTCAAGAGTTAATTCGAGAATATAAGAAATGTCAATTAGAAATGTCGTCTAACGTAAGCCTAAAATCTACTTTGATAAATTATTGAGCGTTAAAGTAACATTCTTTAGATTTCAGCTGTAAGAAAGTCAAGTTGAAATACATTTGTCAACCGAAGGTTTTTGGAAATAGTTATTTCCTTTCGCGTATACATTTTTTTTCATTTTTTCACAGCTATATCCTTTTCCATGAAGACACATTTAGTGACTTTCACAAAAACCTATGTCGATAAAAATCTGACTTTAATTTTACCAGAAATTAAGAATAAACTGTCACCTCTTCTCACTATTGGCTGAAATAAGACCAGTGTTTTTCTCGGAATCTAGCAGAACAGAAAGAAATGCAACAAGCAAAAGTGTTTCACTTCTACTTTAAATAGCCTATTCGTACTTGCAGCTATAGTTTTACTGAAAAAAATAGAAAAAATGAAGGTATAAATACTTTCATTTGATTTCTGATAAAAATTTCAAAATTAATCCCGATTTTAATCCGAATAAAACAAGAATATTTCAAGCTCGAGATAAAAATCACTTTTCAGCCTTTCGAATAGGATTTATGAACATACGAAGCAGCTTACTGCTAGATTTAAAATCGAAAATCATTGCAGAAAGTCTTAAGTCCAGTGCGAAATTTTTATACAACAAATATCAAGATTGCAGGCTAAATAAATATCCATGCTGTTTTCACTCATGGCTACATTCTCCAGTGATATTCTTCTGTTTAAATCCTGTGACTAATCTTTTTTGTTAATTTTAATGCAGAGCTCAGATCTAATGTGCAGTTCCAATGAATTCGAAAATCTAGATCATTCATGTATTTTGTTCTATTTGTTCTTTCTAAGGATTATTACATATCGTTGGAATCTTACTTCAAAGTCAGAAGAATGATCACACTAAATGCCGGGAACAATATAGACGATGAAAATAATTTTTACAAGTAAAATGAGATGAAACATATTATCGACCTCTATTCTAAGATTAATTGAAACTATAGGCTGAATCCAACTGCAGTTTTCTATCAAATCTTTGTGTCTGAGACAAACTAGATTCCGACTAAAACTTGATAAAAGTGCTCGTAATAGTCCGATTCGTATTCACCAACAGATTCTTGATGGAGCTTAGTGCGAACTCTGAGATCAATCTAAATTGTTAATTTCGAATAATTTTGAATAGGAACTTGAACATATTCTAAACAGATTTCTCTTTAGCCTTGGCAATATCTTGAAAGTAGGAAATAACAAAATACGATGCATGTTACTGAATAAAGGCTGAAAGTTTCTCTAGATACAGATTCCTAGAGAATCAGCCCAGGAATAAAGTCAGTTGAATATGAGGAAAGATATTAATGTCGTCGTGGTGACGGCGGGTCATCAGGTATTTAGAAAGCTCAGCGGTGCGACAACAGCTGATTCTCAGCCATTACGGATATTCATGCGATAAAGACTAGTATTTATGAAAATCAAATATTCCTGAGCACGTTAAGCACTTCAATATTTATCAACCAAAAGCAGTGTAACAGCATCTTTGGCCTTTTCACTTTTATGCTGAGAAAATTGTGACTGATATATCGATTCAATTTATATTTTCGTTTCCTAGGTCTTAAATCTTTCCTTATCATTTAATATTGAATTTCATCCGAAGACAAAGCAGTCTAGAAATTAGATTGTATCAAAGTAACTTTCTTGCATTTCTTTTGGTATCTGTCTCAACATACGTATCCACTGTGAAAAACATATGACTCTATGTGTTTTGTAACAAATGGTGTTTTGATCATCTGTCGTCTTGATTCCAAGTCGCGTACCATTTTATTCCATGCAAATTTTGATTTTATCGAACTGTTTCCGTAACACTTATATATACTATCCTATTGTTTTTCTAATTATTACTCGTGCCTATTTCATTATTAGATATTTTACAAGAGCTATTGATCACAAGTAACGCTAGTCGACAATCGACTAGCTTAACCCTAGACTGGCTTAGCCACATGTCAACTATGATTCAGATGATGATAAATAGGGTGTACAGGATCATAGAGCTGTTTCAAAATGAGCAATAGTGCGCAAAAATTTCTCAAAATCACAGAAAAAGTGGTCACAATAATAGTACATGTGACGACAAATACAGACAACATCATCATATCTGTAGTGTATTGAACGCTTTGTGTGGTCAGTCAGATAACATCTTTGACTGCAAGGAGCGTTATTCTGACCATTTTGAGCACATTTTTGCACTTTTCAGTCATATCTCTGATAAATCAAGCGTCCAGTGTTTCGTATTTGTGAATATTCAGTGTTGTAAAGGGATATTTGATTCTATCTTTCGTGATGCAGATTCTAGTCATGAACATTTCTTTCATATTTATCCTAACTTTGACCGAATCCTCCACCATAGTTAGCATTAAGTCACTCGTGTGCTGTCTATGGTCGCTGGCCCTAGTGACGGTACGAATGCACAATACCATGGCGTAAATCACCGAGAAAATAGTTCATATGACCGAAATAATCGTCTGAATAACCACTACAATAGTTAATCCTAGTATGGATGTCATCATTCGTACTGTGATAATGGCCATGAACGTAATTGGTAGAGCAATTCGTACCATCAATGTGGCAATTTGAAGTATCAATGCCGTCAACTGGATCAAAGCTGTGGTCATTTGTATCACCGTTGTGATCACTTGTACCAAGGCTACGATTATTTTCTCCATCAGAATGGTCGTTTGTACCATGAAAATAGTATCTTCTACCATCAAAAATGGTCAATTGTACAAGGAGATTTATCAGCTGCACCACGACTAGGCCACTTTGTATCACGAAAATGCTTACTTGTAACATGTTCATGGTCACTTGCACCATGAAAAATGATCATTTCTATCTCGAGGGTGATCATTTGTACCATACAAATGGTCCCTTATAAAAAGACTGTGGTATCTTGTACTATGAAAATGATCACTTATAGCATGACTATGGTACTTTGTACCAGAAAAATGGTCGTTTGTACCAAGTATTACAGATAAATAGACGGACATAGATGAGTTTGCGTTTCTACACCCTATCCTTTCAATCTAGGGAAAAGTCCTGTTGAATCAAAAATTATGAAACACGATGTAGATGTTATTGGTATGAACAATCAGATGCGAATCATTTTGTATGCTTTATTTCATGACAGATTTGCTTACAATTCTTTCATACATGCTCTGCAATTAAAGCCTGGTAGTAGTTCATGTATTTCCATGAAAGATTATTGATACTCAATTTATATTCTACGTGAACAATTCTGTCACATTTTGCCATGATCTGTAATGTGTATGGAGTTTCTGTGTTACAGTCTGCAGAAAGGAGTGAAGAAAAGGAGGCGAAGACTTCAAATTTTTGCCATATACACCTCGACGCTTCTTTCAGATCACGTTTGACGAAATTATATGGATGAAGTGTCCATCTAAAAGGTAGTTTCTTTTAAGTTAGGAGAAAAAGCATGATGTTCTACATAGCTCTGCGTCTTCTATGNGTAACTATGCTCATCATCACTTTCACCTTCTCATCCTGCCCGTCACCGGTACCCCCTTTGTGAAATTACTCTGTGTGGGTAATATCAGTATTTTTGAAGAAGACCCCTATTTTCACCCGATAACTCCGTTCAGAAATGGTACCATACGATAGAGATTTAAATTTTGCACCTAACACAATCATTTATGGAACCAACGCAGCTCTACAGGCGCACCCGGACCAGAAAAACACGAATCTGGTGCTGACTTTAGGTATGTTAAAAAAAAGAGTCAAATCTTATGAGGAAGTATGTTAACATAAAGAATTATTTAGTCTCGAGTTAAAAATGGTATGAGTAAATTTAAGTTGCATAAATGGAATGCCTTTATTGACAATTTGATCGTATCTAGAAAGAAATCTGTTGAATCAGATAGTAACACAAATAGGATCTCATGTCTATTATTGTGATTATATCTATTATTAGCCACTTATTGTAACCATGTAAAAGGTTTTGACGAAAAGTCAGATTAACAATCGAGTTTTTGATTAACAATCGAATAGTCATTTATACAATTTTAATAATCGATTAAAATAAATTAAAAATAGTTATTATCAAATCCAATCCATCATTTAGATTCAGATATCATATTAAAATCAAATTAAAAATAACGTCATTATAATCTATCAAAATTCGTTTATTAATCGAAAAATCGGTTTTAATCTGACTTTTCGTCAAAATTTTTTTACATGGGTTTCACATAGAACAACATGAATTTCTTGGATCTTTGGTATTATAGTTCAGTTCATGCACGTGCAGTTCACCCTGCAAATTCAATTTCGGATAGGAGAATTTGTCAAATTAGATCTTGAGAAACATTATGTCTAGCTGATGTGCACTGAGCAAAGCAAAATCCACTTTCGCAGTCTTTTTTACCAGCTATTCAAGAGATACTGGTAATTAAACATTTCAGTTCCAATGTTACACAAATCTACCTCAATTGAGAGACCCCATACAACAATATTCAGCATACTGTTTCTAGAGTGATCATTTTCCACACTTAATACACTTAATACAAAATCGTAAAATACTCTTCATGTGGACAGAGAATTTTTTAAACGAAATCCGAAATTAACAATTGATAATTTGTTGATTTATTGATAAAAATCTAAAGAATGTATATGTGAAGAGAATTTTACAAGGCAAGGGACGGTGTCGATCTCAGATTCTTTTATGAAAATTTGTACTTTTTTTGATAGATTTGAAAAAAAGTGCTTCAAAGCTCGGTTCTTCTAGTAGCGAAGTTCTGATTTTGCCACTATGCCTAAGAAAAGTAGTTCGTCGTCGTTAACGACTGTGCAAGGACACTACAATAAAAAAACGATGATCTTAGATCTCACACCGTTTACAGCTGGCACTCACAATATCTTATGGTATAATCTGAGTGTTGTTTACAGTCGCCGTATTATTACAGTAATCGTAAACGGCTAACGGTTACGGTCATTGTTTACGATGAGCGTAACACGCTGTAAAGCATCGTATATGATTGTCGTAAACGGTCACTGTAAACGACTGCCGTTTGCGATATCTTACGATGTTATCCGAGCATCGTTTACTGTCGCCGTATTTTTACGGTTGTTGTAAAGGACGAACGTTTACGGTCATTGTTTACGATTAACGTAATACGCCGTAAAACGTCGTATATGATTGTCGTAAACGGTCACTGTAAACTGCTGTCGTTTTTCGTCGTAAATGATTGGTGGACGGCCGTTTACGGCCGGGCATGAACGACCTGGGAATACATTGAACAGAACTATAGACATGTGAACATTAGTAATAGACAATACAGTGTGCTTTTGATCTTTGCCAAATAGCCATCCACGAATCAAATAGATTGCTAGCTGCTAATAGTCATATTGGGCCACTGCATCACAAGTTATTGATGGGGTGTTTAGTAGATGCACATATTTTTGCTATATATTATGATAAGTATACAATGAATCCAGAAAAACAACACGACGAACAAGAAAATGATGATACTACTTATTGTCTGATTACTCAATTTGGAAATCATCCTGCACATGTGAAATTTTTACGCGGTACCAACTGTTTACGAGAAGAACTTTTGAAAAGATTTAAATGTCTATTTCAAACGAGTTCTAAACTTACAAAATACCAAAATGAGTTATTTTTTCATAAAAGTCAAACGCTATCAATGCAACAACTTTGTAATTATGCGACAAGTCAAAATTGGCATGAACTTGATGCTACATCTCTGCATGGTGTTCTCGTTGATTTTATTGTTGCTGGTGAATCATGGCTGTTTAACGAACAGATCATCTAACAAAAATAATGCTCATTGTAATAAAAAAAAGCAACAAGGACATGAGACACATGTCTTTCTTCCTTCAGAGGTTCATATGATTCGAATCGAACAATAATGACCGATATAAACCATCGGTAAATCAGTTGGTATAACGTGTGCTATACTAGTAGTAATGCAAATAAATGTGTCACATGAGAATGCCTAAACTTTACATAATTAATGTAGATCATAGAAATACTATGAGATCACTAGTGTAATAAGTACTCATCGTGCTATGTTTACTATTATCGAGACTCATGCTCATCAATAGAAACTGATCATATATTTTTTCTTGTCTAGCATAATTTATTCACTTGCTTAGTCATTCCTGTCTTAAAAGTTATAGGGTAATGGAGTAAATGTTGACATATAAGAAAAAAAACCTTGATTTCAAACTCATTGCCAATGCTTAAAGTTTTATGATGAATGGAGATTTCTAAGTAAAAACTTCGATTGTGTTTCTCTGAACTGAATAATATGAAGTCCATTTCTTTGATCAAGGCAGTCAAGCGCTTCTAATTGACGGGTACGAAAGAGTAAAGCTTCACCTTTTTCGACATAATATAAATGTGATCGAATATTTTTTACCTGAATTACATTCAATAGTAAAGAGAGCTCTTATTTCTTTCTTTCCCAAGAAGCGTTCATTATTAAGTATTTCACATGGTAGATGCAGATTAGTCACTAGTCAAATCATCTTTTGGAAAAGCGCAATTCTGTTTAACATTGCAGATCATTTGTCCGGCATTAGGAACGAATGAGACAAGAGAGCAGACAACCTCTCCAAGAGAAACTAGAGACAGTTTCTCAAATCCTTGAATTGGTAAAAGTATTGGTCGTGGTTTCGTGATAATATCAGAAAATCGATGAATACTTTTTTTTTGTTCGTTAACATTGCTAGATACTGTACTAGAAGTTTGAGCTGAAAAGAAAAGCAGACTTCTTAAAGTTTTGCCAGTATAAATGATAAGAGTGAAGAGTAGTTTCAAAGAAAGTCAACATTTCATTGCAATATTTGTTTCAATAGAGACTACACTAAGCTGATGCTTTTAAATATCAAGCCAACTCGAACTTTACAAATTTTATACTCATGGAACTTCAGGCATTGTCTTTGAGATGCTTCAAGAAGAAGTTTTCTTGAAAAATTTGAGATGATCGTTAGTAAAATGAAACACCAGTCTGTCACGGTATATCAAGGGTGTCCCATAATAACTGACAATGAATTATTAATGACATCTTTTCATACGTTTTCTTGAAGTAGAGAGCTGGAATTGTTGTCACGTATATATCTAATCAAGATCTTTTTCTTCTGAAAGTTTCAGATCACTAGCTCTACTTACTGGTGAAATAGATCAACAGGATTGAAATACATAAATTTTCGTACTCGTTTTCTGCATTTTATTTCGAAAGTAAAAATAATGCAAAAATTGAGTACAAAAATTTATTCATTTCAATCCTGTCGATCTATCTCACCAGGAGGTAGAGCTTGAGATTTGAAATTTTCAGAAAAAAAATAGGAAAAAATGTCTTTAATAATTTCTCTTATTTGTATACTCTTGTTTAAATCTTATATAGTTCTAATTTTCGTTCACTTGAATTCTAAATAAAATATTTTATTCATGCTCTACATGCTTTTTAACGTCTTTTAATTTTTTTGAATTCATTACAAATTATCCAAATCTTAATGGTTTATCAGTCAATAAGCAAAATTGATTTAATTGATCAAAATAATATTATTCATTCATTACTGACACAAATCGAAGTTTTAGTAAATTTAAGTTTAAATGAAATAGCATATGATGCATCATTAAATTTACATTGATTTTCTCTGATATGTCTACAATCGATTTGGAATTGAATATCAATCAAGAAACAACCGATTTAATTTAATTGAAACATGTCTTTTTTTTTCAACTTAGATTTTGCTTAATTGTTCAAATTCAACTAAATCCATTATTATTGAATCATTTTGAAATATAATAAAATCTTCAATGAGTAAAGACGATTGTTTTATACATCAACTATTATCGATTTTTAACTGTTAAAAACTATCCGTTGTATAAATTAAGATGTATACATTAATACGTATGTATATATATATATAACGATGTTAAATTCAATTTGCTCAATAATATTAATCAAGATTTTGTTTTTGAACGATTACACAAAAATAATCTAAGAGCAAGATTGTTAACTATTTATTCGTGAGGTTCTTTTTGCATTTAAAATTGAAAATAAATATTTGAATTTGAAAATATTGTTCCACTATCGAAGATTTTATGATCAATTTCTTGGTTCTATTATTTATTCATTGATTACATGTCGAAAACCGCAAAATATTTAGAAAAACTTTCATAAATTAAAAACTGCTTCAGAAATATGAGCCTTCATTTGAGCATATGCACTCGAACAAGATTCATTCAAAATCGAAAAATAAAACTCATATTAATTAATGTTTGTAATTATTTGTTTTATTCTTAAGATTCTTCGAGAATCTGCAGAGGTAGATAGGGGAAAAAACAAATCTGTTCTATCATAGTATCGACTGCTTTTCTGTGCATCCGTTCACTCTCGAACAAGATTTATATCTGTTTGATAAAATAGAATATTATGTGTTTTAAGAACTGTCTGCAATGTCCAGTAAACATAAATTTTATTATGCTAAGTATAGAAAATAGCCAAATAAGACGAAGTTTAATTATTAATTATAAATATATTTAAGATTGACATTATCTTTGTCAGGCATAATCACTCAGTTGGTGTCATGATAATAAATGAGAATATGAAGTTTTCTAATAATCCTCAAAATACAAAAGTTTAACTCTAGCTTGTAGTTTTTATCTACTAAATATAGATCAAACAAGCAAAGGTATCGAATGTGTTTAGTAATAAGCATAGAAAAAATTTAGAACGGATATAATTAAGCCTTATTCAAATTGCTTATGCTTATGGAAGGTATTGAATGGAAGTAAAAGAAACAACAATACCGTCGACATGCAAACGTCATTTCCGCTCAAGTAAGAAAAAAAAAAACATTGGAAATAAAATGGAAGTGACTGTCTAATCATTTTGTTCATTAAAAATGTTACTGACATAAGTAATTTTGATTCTACTGTTTTTAACAAATTAAGTCCAATATACAAGATGGATCATAAACAGCACTTGGATAAAAAATTGAAAAATCTCTGTGTCGGTCCCTTCGAATGTGCCGAGTGTTTAGTTCATGACATTAGTCCAATCAAAGTATGGACAAGTAAGGAAAATTCATGTGCAGCTTTTCATAGATAATTTTCAACTGCCATAACCAGTAATCAGTTAAAATGCTGAAATTTGTGTCTTATAAGTAAAATGGATTATTATAGCCCATCGAACACCAACTTCCTTGCAAAATATCAGTGTTCAATCAATACAGTATCATTTATAAAGTTTGTTTTGATTTTTTTCTTATTATTCTTTTTGATGACAACTGAAAATTATCTATGAAAGGCTATACATGTATTTTTCTTACTTGACAATAGGTGAAATTTCTCAAGTAAGACTATAACTACAGCTTGATTCTAGCCGTATTTGCTTATGTTTTTCATGTGAAAAAGAAAGCTTTGAATAAACTTCTATCATTAATAAAAAAAATCAACATCACTCAAGAGAATCGATACAGACAGGTTTCATTTCTTTTTTTTAGTTGTAATACTATTTATTTTTCGCTTTGCAGAAATATTCTCAACATGTAGTTGAAAGGTCGTTTGTTTTTAATGCTACTAATATACGATAATTTGTAATTTTAACAACTCTGTTCAGAGTCTGTATTGTCATAAACATATCATATTTGTTATTATCATAAGCTTTTGAAATTTTTAGCAGAAAATCTATTAAAAACAGCATTTTCTTACGGTAGATATATATTATTATTTCCTATGACAAATACGAAATTCATATTACGCAAATCAACAAAGAAGAACATTATTCATTGAAATCATAACAAACTAATCGACATTTTATAAATTATGTCGTCATCAACAGCACAATTAATTTTTTTTGCTTCTCAACAATATACAATCTATGTTAGTTTTATTATTTTATTTATTGGTATTCTTGGACATTTTTTTAATATCTTTGTATTAACTCATCTTAAAATATTCCGAGGAAATCCATCTGCTTTTTATCTCATCGTAGAATCGATTGTTGATTTACTTCAAATGATGATTTCATTTACATCTCGTATTGCAATCAATGGATTTGCTAATGATTTAACACAAACATCATTAGTTTGGTGTAAATTAAGACAATTATTTGTTCAATATTTTACTCTCTTATCACATACTATAGTTTGTTGTGCTGCTATTGATCAATATTTATCAACAAATTCTTATCCATTTATAAGACAAATGAGTACAATTAAATTAGCTAAAGTTCTTACAATGATTGCAATGATAATTTGGATTCTACATTGTATACCAGTCGTGATCTTCTTTGAAATTCAACCAACATATGGATGTAATATATATAATCAACATTTTCTGAATTATATTACATATATCTATTATCTCATACTGACTGCTACTTTACCCATTATTGTTTCAACTTTCTTCAGTATATTAGCTTATCAAAATGTTCGTCATATTGTACGGCATCAGATGCCATTACGTCGACGAAAACTTGATCAAGAATTGACAGCAATGATTATTGTTCGGGTTATTTTTTTAGTTGTCACAACATTACCATATGCTATACAACGGTTTTATACACTTAGTACGCTCATAATCGTAGACAGTTTGATTCGTAGATCAATTGAAGAACTTATTGGAGCTGTAACTTTTTCACTTTTTTATCTTAATTTTTCAGTATGTTAAGTTTATTTATTTACATTATTTTGTTTTTCAATTATATTTTAGGGTTCTTTCTATTTACTTTTAATATCATCAGCAAGATTTCGTCGGCAAGTTAAACATGTACTCATAAACAAATGTTGGCGAACCTATTGCAAGAGAATAATACGTCATAATCAAGTTGCAGCAGTAACTCAACATTCCAGTAGTGAATATGATTTACAATCAGTTCATTAGTAAACAGCAATTCATTATGCGATTATCATTAATGTAACGCTATTTCATGCATGATATAAAATATATGCATCACTTGTATTAGATATTTTTATGACGACAAAAAGAAACATTCCAAGGTCAAAAGATATAGGCTGGAGAAACCTATCCAAAATTCATGAATTAGAGTGCCGAAATCATCGATTTGCAAAGATTTTGCCATTTCCCACGTACTTCTGGCCAGAGCTAGTCTATATTTCTTGATCTAGGTATTTTATCACAATTTTGTCTACTTCTTTAGTTCAATAGTAAAAAATGTAACATGTAATACATAAATAATTGAAGCAGAATTCGAATGTTAAGAACATATGCTGATGAGAGATTGAGGTTGCATTGATATATTTTTCTTTTTATTTGTATATTTTAAAAGATTTATTTACTTTGCTCGGTCATAGTGTTAAGTCTTTGCTTTTTTTGTTCTATATCTATTCTAACTTGAAGAATTAATAAAATTAATAAAGATGTTAAGATTGATTTTGCTCGTAACAGAATGATCAAATCAAGACAAATGTGATCGCTTTTGAATCTATTATTACAATAACATGATGAAAATAAAGCGTCATTATTTGTTTGAAACAATTTTTTAGAATCCGTAGAATAAAAACTCAAAGATGTTTATCTAATTACTTCACGAAAACAAAATAATCCCTGATGATTTCATATTCGGTGAAAAAAAATGTAGAGATGAACAACAAATAATCATTAATATTCCTATTATAAAATTGTCACTAATCATTAATTTAATCTAAAAGAATATGAATTTGTAGAATATTTCTTAATGAACATGTCAACAATCAGCATGTTTGCTGTTGACAGATAGAAATAAGATATAATAAAAAAGTCTCTTCAAAAAATATGAAACTCTGCTAGACTTCGTTCCTGACTTCTAAACCAAAATGTTTACTTCTTGTTCGAAAGAGTAATATGTGAACTATACGGTTTACATGATACTATTTTTTCAGAACAAATATCAGAAGCATTATGAATCAAAAACTAAATACTTTAAAAAATTTTCTTCTAAATTCATCATCAAGCAAAATCGTTTCCTAATTTTCGTAAATTTGATTTATATAAAAAGAGAATGAAACAAACATGTTTAATGATGATATTCGTAGGATGAAGAGGATTCTTTCTAATCGAACAGTGAAAGTAAAATATTTAGCAACCATAAGAAATTTAATTAGTTCTTTTTCTGCTACATTTCTATGACATGATATACGTATTTTAAACAAATTACTTAAAACGAATTGAGTTCATTTCTAGTGTATAGAGATAATAGTTTAAGGTTAAGAAAACTGATAGTTCTGGTAGTAGACACTATTTTCAGCAACTTTGGTTTTCAAACGTTTTTCATCAAAGAATCAAGATTCTATATAAAATATTCTAGTAACAACGCTAGTATTCACAGATTTAGGATGTTCGATTGACTCAGAAGTCAACGATATAGTTGACGTGAGTTCGACATTTCACTAAGACTTTTGCAATGTATGTTAGTAATCTATCAACGAATTATTTAAATATACTTGAAAAATATCATAAAACCCTTTTTTTTCTCTAGGTTTTCTTATGAACGATGTGTAAAATGTTGATTATAAATTATTTGTCATCTTCCGTAACATCTATTTAATTCTTAGGGCGTGTGTAATGAGTCTTCTTTTCACACACATGCACATCCATACATCCACACTCTGTTAGGCATTTTCACGGTTGTTGTCACTCTTCATCAACAAAAGGTTGTCGCTCAATCATGTGACGAAGACAGTCAACTAGCTCGAGAGCAACACGAACAAGATTTGAACATATCACTTGCACAATATCAGCAAGATCTGAACATGTTTGCACTCCAACGAGAACAATACCTGAATATTTCACGCGAGCAGTGCAAACAAGATAAAGAAATCGCTGAACAAAAACGAATACAAGACGATCTATTGGCTGGCAAGCAGCAGAACATGTCTGAAGCACAACGAGTCCATGAACTCCATGTAACACACAAACAACTACGCGATTCATTGCTCGTTACCCATATGAACGACATTGGAAATCTAATTAAAGAGAATAAAGAAATATTGACAGCCGATTCAATAATCGCTACTATCGCAAGAGTGAAAACTGTGACTGTTATTTGACAGCTCGATACCTCAAGAAATACTCATCTTAACATCATCGGAACTTATGAAGTCTTTCACTTGTCGGTGCTATGCTACGTAACCGTTCATTTTCTAATCGGAATTTATCCAAAACTAATTTTAGTGGAGCAGATCTCGCTCATACACGATTCAATGTAAGTAATCTCGACTACACTGATTTATCGGACACTATTATTGTATGAGCTGAATTCTCCAGAGCTCACCTGATGCACACTCGATTTGATTGCACATAGTCGTGTGGTGCTGTGTTCTTTGACGTGATCCTATCGAATGCGTCATTTAATGAAAGTCATTTGAGCGCAGCTATTTTTGTCAGCTGCTACTGAAAAAATGTCAATTTTCATGGAACTGATCCCAATGGAGCTGATTTTTCGCGAACCCAATTAGGAGGACCTATATTCATTGCCGTACGTCTTCAGCGAGTCAACTTCTCTTATGCCTTTGTAACCAATATCAATTTTGAGAATTTTGAATTAAGTTACACCGATTATACAAAAAGTAAATGTTCAAATGTGATATTCACTGAAGCAAGAATAATGATAGCTCGCTTTGTTAAAGCTAACTTACACAATGCTGACTTCATTGGTGCTAGAATGAGTTGTATTAATTTTGATACAACTGATTTAACATTAGCAACTTTAAATCATACAGAAATAAGCAACTCAATATTCGTTCGTGCCAACGTGGTCATGGCCAGTTTTTCATTTTGTGTAATGAACAATGCAATAATCTCGGATGCACAATTGGTCAGTGCTGCATCCATACGCAATACTATACTACCCAATGGTACAAAAATCAAGCATGCTCCGCAACGGACGTGTCGATTGTTGGCGTGCACCATAGCACATTTACTGGTAAGTGAATCTCTCAAATGCCATTGCCATAGTGTCGAAACACAACTCTTCGGCCGACTCTATTTTTGCCAATCAGATTGAAAGTACATCTGAGATGTTACAACAAGCCGATTTGACAAGATATATTCAGTTAATATCTTGTAAGCGTACAGTTATTGTTTTGAAAGCGCGCAATGGCCGAAATATGGCATCGATTCATATTACTGACTATATGAATGAAAAAAATTACTTCAGTCAACTTTACACAAAATAAGACAAAGCTGACTTTGGTCATTTATCCTTTATGTTATTTTGTTAGAACCTAGTACAATAACAGTTCGAGTCCGATTATACTCCTAAGAACCTACAATAAGAGTTCAATTCGCTATCTATGGCTGGTGCGATGATCTGGAACTGACAGTTGAGACGATTTCATGAACCTGATGATTTTCAATAATAATAACCACTCGATTATAAAGTTGTTGTTATTAAAGCTTATTACAGTCAGACTGAGCCACATCCACATCCTATGCTACAACATTCCAAAAATTCAAATAAACAAATATTCATGCGCATGTAAGCAGAGAGATTTTTTCAGAGCAGTGGCAGAGTACAACGCCCAAACTCAAATATAATACAGTCTAGTTTGATATAGAGTTGAATGAGTTTTTTGAAAGTCAAACTATGAAATTATGTTTTTTTCTGCAATACTAACCATATCTATAGTGAAAGCTGAATATCAACAAACAGAAACAACTCATTTGGTGCGTTCGGTTCCTGCTTGTCGTCCATATACTGATAGAAGAAGTCACTTATTTCGAATGTTTTGGAACATTTCAGACAAAATCTCTTTGTAACAAGATGTATTTTTAACAAGGTTCGTAGAATCTTGAGCACATCTTGTGGAGAATCAAAAAATTTAAGCTCCTATCAGATTTTGATATCAACGATTCAACCAAGTTGAAGGTTAAGATAAGAGAACATTTATCATGCTCATGTGCGTGTATTGATTCATTATAAGTAGATAATTTCAGTCAGTCTGAGTGCGATTCTTCATAACCAATTCTATTAGAACGGGCAGATGATCCGATGGAAAATATTCGTTATTCGAATCTGTTAAAATTGCGTGCTGTAGTATTGTAAAATGCTGTGACGTTACAAAGATGTAGTCAATACGTTCGCCAAGACCTTGCCCTACGAAGAAAGTAGCCCAAGTGCCATCTGGACCATAATGAGGCGTCTCTGTCAAATCTCTTGCATCTTGGAAAGAGGTATTCGTGATGATACTTCGATAGGCATCTGAATCGGGTCCTGTATTAAAATCACCAGTAAGTATCACTGGCTCTGTGGAACCGCTTATATCGTTTATGCGATGTACAATCAGACGAGCACTTTCACTACGAGCCATCACACCCACATGGTCCAAATGGGTGTTAAAGTGATATAGTGTTTGACGAGTCCAGCGATCTCGGAGTTTTACCCAGCTACACACTCGTATGGCGGCTGCATCCCATCCTTTACTTCCAGCAATGTCTGGTGTTTCCGAAAGCCAAAATGAACCGTTATCAAGTATTTCGAAACGATCAGAGCGATAAAAGACGGCAGAAAACTCGCCTCTATTTTTGCCGTCGTCACGACCTACACCATACCAATCAAAGGCAGGCAATGCCATCTTTAAGTTTACCACTTGATGAGGCAAAGCTTCTTGGACACCGAAAATATCAGGTTTATGATAACGAATAAGACTGGTTAGACGATCTTTACGGAGATTCCATTGATTTTGGCCGTCCTGAACCAAGTCTAATCGTATATTGTAGCTCATAGCACGAAACGACGAAATACAATGTTCTGTTAGCATAGCTACAAGAAATAGAGTTGATTTTAGTTTGACTAGTCGACTTGAGAGTCAGGAATTGATTACTGTGTCATCTACTTTTAGGTGTGACTGAAAAAATTAGAGTTTGATATAATCTATTATTTTACATAATCCAATATGCTATATCTATTGAAAAATTGTTGCCCTCATCTTCCGTCTTATATAGCATTTTCACTGGTACAGTAGCAAAAAAAAATTATGATAATGGATTTGTCACTCTTTGCATACCTGATGTCGTCTGTAAACTTCTAGTAAATATAGCAGTCGTAGGAATAGCAACTGTTGCACAGAGCAAAGTAACAGCAACAATGGAAAAAATAGTCCACAGCGATGGTTTTCTTCCGATAGATGTATCTCTAAAAATGTCAATCTTTGCTAATAATGAGAACAAAAGATACATACACTGTTGTCGATCGATCGGACTTTAATATATATGTATTCAATACCACTTGATCAGACTGAAAAAATCAAGCAAAAAAAGAGACGCGTGTTATGCGTAGTCTTTCGAATAAATAAAAATGGCATACATCACCATCTTGATTTACTATTGGCGGCACTTCGCTTTTATGTTGTGACATTGTTGAGATAGGTATGTATTGAAGTGCTTTACAATAAAAGAAAAAACATCATATGAATAATAATTTAGACTTCTGCCATATTTAGTTCTTTAAAATTTTATCAAGGAAATGGAAAATAATTATTAAGCGAAAGAATACTCATAAATCGAAGAAATGAATCAAACAATGCATATTCCCTATTCATTTTTTTGAATGAGAAACATGCATTACACCAACGAGTAAATATCATCAACTGAATATATTAAGAGTCGTGCGGGCGCGAATTTTTTACTATTTATTCCTTTAACAAAGTGGGTCTAATACACATCGACGACAAAATGTCATTATTTACGTGCGCGAAATATGAATCAATCCAATGCAGTAATCAAACGGACTTGCACACTCAGCGAGAGAGCTAAAACAAAAACATATTTTTACTATTTATTCTCGTAGATAAGCTACAGAAAGGGCATCAATAATCAAATCCCCTTATTTCATTTCACTTTGCATAAGATGCAGAAAAGCGTTGGTGATCATATGGTGTCTTTTTGATATGCCAACAGAAACTCAATTAATATCAGTGAAGGAGATGTGTGTGTGAGGCATCGGGTGTGAGTAGGAATCAAATAAACACGCACCCACGGCCACATGGTCATATGGCTATACACTATACACAGTGACACCTACCTAAACTCCACACCCTCAAAACATAAGAGTAATTATGATTACCATGATGTTACAGAAAAATAAGAATTAATCTGACAGTTAGGAGCTCTGCAAATTGACTGACTCCTAAGTTTTTTTTTGTTTCACTTCTTTTTTCGCTTTTCATATCTGGTTGATAGAAGAATGATGCAAATAATCAATAAGCTTTACTTGCATGCATTGCATTTTCTCCCTTTGAAAGTAGTAGAGATTAGTTAACGAAATACTTAATTCTATAAGAGGATATCTAGTAAATACATTGAAATATTGGCAACATTTTTCGGTATATCTTATAAAGAAACTTATTCGATCTTTCACATATTTATGTAGAGAAAATACAGATTATAAAATATGTTGAAATTAACTTTTCTATTTCATTGTTCAATCTAAGTGTTTCTATCGAAAATTTAACTCAACAAAACTCAATGCTATGTGCTACACTTTTTCGTATATAGTGGTGAGTCGACGTCAGTTCAACTTTTTCTCAAATCTGATTGTATATACTCTTATCAGTTTTCAAATTGTCTATGCATAATATTCTACTTAATATTTAATCATCTTTATGAAGCCTATAGAGTTTTATAAGATATTTTCAAGAGCACTAAATACTATATCTCTGTCAGCTTCATTTCAGATGAACCATGTTTCATAAGTTCCGAACCTCGACAAAAATTATTTTAAACATAGAGAGAAAATTGTTTCTAATTGAATGCATCCACATAAAACTTGACTACTCGAAACAACATAATATTGGATGATATTTTCTCTTGTAAGAATAAAATATATAACATTCCATCTTTCGAAATCTATCAAAAAGATTTTAACTAAGAAAAATAAAAACCTTATTTTCGAAAAATAGACATATTGGGATTCCGGAACTTCGTCAATAAGACTTTCGCCAGTAGCAAAACTCCACTGTACTTCCGCCAACATCTCTCCTAGAATTTCGTCAATGGTATTGTGAATTAGACTCACATATATTCTATGTTAATAGTTTCATGACAGTTGGCGAAAGTACAGTGGTCTTTCGCCAATACGTCCTCTGGAATTTCACCAATTGACGAAAGTGCAATGGACGTTCGCCAATATACCCCCGGACTTTCGCCATTGGCGAGTGTCCTTTTGGCGAAAATCTTATTGGCGAAGTTCCGGTAACCCGACATATTAAGCTGATTACACAAAATATTTTCAGTTAAATATCACGAATATATGTTTTTCACTATTTTTTAGCGCTTTGTCATATTGTTGAGGAATCGTACTAATCGTTCTTTTTCAATCGTCACAAGTTAGTTTTGCACCATTCTTTACTTAATCTAATTTTTCACGATCTAGAGCTCGAAAATATGTACTTTTTTGTTCATTTATTTGTTAATATGGGTGTGGATGTCCTTGAGTAGACCACACATCCACACTCTGGTCAAATATTTTCTGATGAATATTAGTAAAAAAAAAACATCGTTAGAGTGAGAGCAGCGTTCAGATTGCAAGTAGTTGTGCTGAGAATTTGTAAAATATTTATTTGTAATCCAAAAACACTTGATTTTCTCATGAAACGTTATCTCAAACTCGCATGCAGGCTGGAACCGCCTAAGATGTATAGATATTTCACGGTGGGAGTCGAAAAAAAATTACACGAAAGAATTAGTAATTTTTGACATCATACTCATTTCAGGCATGCAGTTCGATAATTTGTTGTTTGTAGAACCCATCTTGGTTGTGCGCAGAATATAATTGCTGCGTAATAGAGCAATTAGTAGTCAATAATTAAAAATGGAGCAAAGAAAAAGAAAAAGAAAACGAAGGAACGAAAGAAAAGAAACTGCATAGAACATATGAGCGAGACGTATTGTTTGCTTCTTCACAACACAAAAGCATCACATACCAGTAGAACGAAGTAACGGTGAGTGAAATTATATTGGAGACCTCATTCATGCACAGAATATGATAAATTATCGTAGATCATTTATAGAAAAAAGTCGAACTAAGTTCAGCTCTTTGATATGTTTTACTATGAAGTTTTTCCCTGAGTGATATGATTGATTTGGGTATTTGCTTCATATTCTTGTCATCAAAAATTCAACAACACCCGTGTCAAACACTCTTGAGCAGTCGTAAATTCATCGCAGTATAACTTCTATGGTCTCTAAGTCGAATTTGACCAAGCCATTGACCATTTAACTAACTGTTCAAGAGGAACTGCTCAATAGATCGAGGATGAAACCATATTAAAGTGAACGTTACTTATATATATATATTACTGAGATACTTCTGAAAAAGATGATACACATTTGAATGATGATTTTAGTTCACAATCTAATCTCTTATTTTCCTTTTCCAATATCAATAAGAATCGGTTGATTCACATCTCATCAATAATAGCTATAAATCGAAGTTTTCAGGATCCAAAGAATGTCTTCTGTTTTCATGTTTTATAATGTAACACTTGTTAGTTTCGCACTATGAATAGAATATATCAAACTCGTATGAACAAATATTGAAAATAGTGCAATCGTAGTAAGCAAATACGGAATGTTTGAAGTTTGCAATCCTATCGGATGGATTTTGTACATATGCATGGGCGATAAGCAAAACACTACCTTTCTCTTGTGTACATGACAGGGTTAGGACTATGGAAATGGAATTTCCTAATGAGGCGGAGCACGAAATGGCTTGAGAGCTGAATGATGTCATTCTTTTACTAGTAGCTAAACTATGCATAGATGATTGACACGAGGTATCATTTGTAGTGATGTTTCTATCATGCATCCGAATATTGAGCTAGTCGTAAGCTAGAAAAGATATATATATTTACATTTTCCGTAGAAGTATGACGCCACCAATCATATACAGCAACGGACTGATTCAAAGCATCAGTCGTTACGATGCTAACTACTATTGTAAGATTGAAAAAGTCGAATTCTTACCTGGCATCATTCGTGTATTTATTGATGAACGAGGCGATAATTCGCTTGGTATGTTGATTTTTTTGCATGCATATCGAAACCTGTCATAATTATTTCTCGATCTTTAGGCCCTCTTCAAGATCCGATGGACTCAACATTGGGAATTTACGACCAAGGAGGAGAATGCAGAAACGGCAAAATTCCAGTCAATGGAAAATTTTCGATCAATGATCAGAATCGTCAATATTTAGGTAAGCTCATTTATTTTTTCTTCGATAAGTATTGATCAATTATCTGTATAGGTTACCTCGATTTTACCTTGGATAAATGCTTTTTCGATGGATCACCTACCATTGCTTTTCAATACGGTAGCTCTGGTTATGAAAGTGCCAAACTCTTTCAATTCGATCAAGCACTGATCGACAAATACAAATTGAAGGCAATTTAGAAATATTCCAAACTCTATGACAACATATTCAATAATGAAGATCTCTTCAAAACCTCTCCTACATCCTGATTCCGAGCAAAAAGACTTATCTTGACATTTTTTCTTCCCCATCTTCACTTTTCTTCATCATAACATGTTATTACTTAATATCGATCATTTTTGTCTGACCTGGAAGGAATTTCGTTTTGTGTGCATTAAAAAAATTCAAATTTTAACGCGAATGGCAACAAATCAGCACACCACTAAATATCTATTTGAACGCCTGCGTTCTAATTACTAGGGGTGCTACATTACTTTATTACGTATTATTGGTAATAGTAAAGCAGCAGTTCTACTAACTACAAATAACTGAAAATCGGTCAATCAGATATCACACCATCAGGATTATAAATGATTTACCATAGAAGTTGGATGGAAAAAATGAAAACTCAAACATTACCGACAAAAAAGGATTATTTTTCAGTCTGTTTTGAAATCAGAATCAATTTGAATCCGATTACTTTCAAAAAAAGAAATTTCCCCAAAACAAATCTGAGAAACATGTTGATATTTTTTTTTAAATCTTGACTTTTTTCTGGAAGATTCTCACTGAAAAGTCGTCATTTCCGACGATTACGATTTGGACAATTCACATATATTCTAATCGTAATTTATGAAGTTCAATAAGTGACCAATTTTCTAGTAAGCCACTGTGAATATCATACTGAAAGAAACGCCACAGGAATATAGGTTTTTGTTATCCTCTTCTTTTGGCTTTGAATATCTCGAGCAACGCTTCATGATACAAAATGCCCTATATTTAAAGAGTATTCCTCTTTTGTCACTGGTTATGATAACAAAAGAGGGTGTGGGTGAATTGTCAATCCTCTCTACACATACCGACACTCAACATTCGCACTCACACCCACGCCTACACTCTATTGATTGCAAGTCAGTGTAAGACCATTTTGTCAAATTGAATTTATGTGATAATCGAATATGTAATGAAGCGTATGATTATTGCAATCAAGAAAAGCGTTGAACACATGTGCCGGACTCAAATAGAGCCAAATAACAAGCAGAAGTTCATCTGGCAAATTGTCGTATCGAGTTGCGCGTTCTGATGGATGATTGCTAAGTGATAGTTTTTGAGTAATACCAACTGAAACTGCAGATAGAAGCGTCTGTTCTGTGAACAGAAATTTCTTCAATTTTGTGAAGATCTGTTGAAAGCATAGAAAAACTTCTTCTAATGTCAGTATATTCAGAAAACCAGCGAACCAATACAGAGCTGGCATTCAATCGGCAGTAATACTTACAATATTGAAAAGAAAATGCTGTTCAATTTACAGAAGAGGACTGCATGTTTATATATGACAATGACAATGAACGTATTGGACGGTGATTGTTATTTCACATACGGCCATCGTATATTGCATATGCATTGTATGTACATACACTGACCCTGCGAAAAAACAGATATATGATTAGAGAATTAATGAACTTACGATCATGGCAATCACCACTGATAGGTAATAATAGAACAACTAACGAGGAATCAATTCAAGTGTTGAACGACGTTTGAGTCCATAGTCTGGTTGTGAGCCAGTTTCGGTAAGACTAAGAAGACACTAAAAGGGTTCGGACATATGGTGTGATTAGACGAAGATTTTATGGCTACATAGATATAAGAAAGCGAGAATTTTTACTTTTTTCTTCATACGTGTTTCTTTACTCTAAGATGTTGATATCTGAATTTTTCAAAGTAGAATTCTGATTTGAAACTTGCGAGTTGAGCTATATTCATGTAAAAAGCTCGATTAATCTCGAAATAACGCTCATATAAATATATAATTATATGTAATAGTAGATGTAAGCAGAAAATAGCAACATACTCTACTACGCAGTTTTTGCTGCTACTGATGTTTCTACAGTCAATTCAAATAGTAAACCAACAACATCACTGATAAGTGAGCCAGAACATTGCTCTGTACCAACATAATTCACTGCACAAATCAGTTCATTAAATGGAATGCAATTACCAAGTGGAAAAACAGTTGGTTCATATGTAAATCATTCCTATATCATACACAATATTTATAACAAAAGCATTATTCCTTTTTTTATTTCATTATAGATACAGTAACTTATCGACAATCATCCATGTATGGGTGTGGCAATAAACAAATTATTGGTGATACATGGCTTGGCAAAATCGATGAAACACTTAATTATGCAACTGTTAGTCATGATGGTCTTTGTGTTCCATTGAGTGGACATATTTTCCTTCCACAACCCGATGAGTAACTATTTTATGTAAAAGACTTATCAGTTCGTGTTCGGTCATTTTAGATATTCTAACGGCAATGACAACAATAAAGTTTACACCAAAAATTGATGATCTAGGCACATATGATATCCCGACGCAATGCAAAAACTGCTGTCTAACTTTCAGTTTTCATCTCACAAACAAGCACATGGTTTTTAATAATCTGATGTGCTATTCTTATGCCTTTTTTATGAAATAAAGAAAATATCGGACAAAGATAGTTGTACGTTGGTATGTGTATGTACTGCATGGAGAAAAGGACAAGCATTACAGCTGAACGTGTAACATCAGAGATAAACAGACGTTATATAACTAATACAGATAACATGGATTCAGAATTGAAATAATTGTGCAAACAATTGGAGTTCGACTAGTAATGAAGAAACCTTGTTTGGCAGAAGTAAAATCTCAATTGAAGTTTTAGTGTAAAGGAAGAGTGAGAGTTCGAATCAGGAACAATCAAAGAAAACATAGTATGAAGACTGCCAAAGAAGTGAGAAATAGCAATTTCTAAACTGTCTAGAAACTGTCAGCAAAATTATGATAGTTCCTTGGGAAACTGGAATTTATTCTCAGTTTCTTCACAGTTCTGAGTGATTCTTATATGACAAATGAAAAAGTTTGGAATCTCTTAGAATTATTTGACTCAAAAAATCTTCATCAAGAGAGGTGACAGATCACAGTAGGATTGTTTTCTTTATGCATAAAGAAATATATCCTGTTGATCATCATAAGTATTTGTACAAAAGGAAAAACATGTGAAAACGACTAGAATATTCGAAATATTTCGATGATTTTCATCCATTTCACAATTTTTTTTAATAATACACGCACATATACACGCAGCTTTGATATATCTAACAAATTTATGGATTCTATGTATTCTATTAATCTACAATGAGAATTTTGTAAATATTGCAAAACGAGTTGAAGATTATTTCTATTTTCGAAACTAATATCAAGTTCACTATCCATATTTTATTGATTAATTCTTGTGTAACATTGATAATTTTGAATTTTGTACCATAGACAATCATACTTGGGTTCGGTTTATTGTTTCGAAATGGATGTTGAAGTGTTTTCAATTGAGTATAAAGATTGACCATAAAAAAAAGGATATTTAAATACAATATCTATGTTTCAAGAAAAAAGTGCTTTGTTTAACTTTTAGCGCAATCATTAATTGATATAAATGATAAACAGATCATCAAGCATTGGTAAGATAAACTCAAATCCTTCCTCTTTTCTCCAAATGCTTGCCTTTTGATATAATTTTGTTTTCCAGTTATGAGCATTTATGTTGTGTGATATTATTTCATTCCATTCAGTATCAAGATCAACTTTTAGCGTATCCAGTAACTCATCAATCTTCAAATAGGATGCACAACAGTTCTTCTAAAATGGTTTGGCAAAAGACCTATGTTTTTTTGTTATGTCTAGCTGTAAAAATTGATCCGCTAGACAAATATGTGTAAACATTGATAACTGATAAATGATGATGTCAACATAATGACAATAATTAAGAACACTTTTTCATTGAGCTCAATAATACATCCGTTGATCTTTGTTTTTAAACTTTCAATCTGTCTTCCTTTCTGTTTGTCTCTCGAATAGAGTTGTACTGAGAGAAGAAAACAAATTTTCCTATATAAAACTGAACCACATAATTCTACACATGAGTTACACAAAATCAGTGTTCATCAATGAATGGTCTGCATTTTCATCAAGGCATTTCATTGCTTCTCGCTAATAATTGACTTAACAGACAATTTTTTTTTCTTAATATAAGGCTCCTTAAAGCTTTTTCGAGCCAGTTCTAGTACTGATTGATAGCTCTCGATGAATTCTATTTAATAATACTACATCACGAAGACATGTATACTTCTATCATTCTTCACAATATTATTCGTGTCGGATAAGTCACCAAAGTATCTCGTTTCTGGAACAGTTCGTTGACAATCTGCTGCCATCTTTTTGTGGTATTGAAGAAACATTTCATCTTTGATCATTACAAAAATTTAGAAGTGATGGAAAGAAGAAAAGTTTTTGAGCCAAAATAAAAATTACAAACAAAAAGAACGTGCTGATCATTTACTCAAAATGGTTGACGATAAATTCTTCTTCATCGAAATCAACATTCATGTTGTGCGATTCAAGTTAGCTTTATTAATAATGTCATAGTTTTAATATCTTGCTCATGGTTAAAAAGATGATTGGTCGATTACTTAACTTGATGCTAGCTTTAAGACTTGCAACAAATGCTCGGGGAAAATCTTTACATATTTTACCTTTAGAGTTGACGTCAAAAAAGGTATTTCTAAGACAAAAATAGAAAAGAAAATATGATACAACAGTAAAAATTGACAGATGACAGAATGTCGTTTATGGAAATATAAGCAGAATAATACTGACAGTATCTTAACTTATAACTAGAAAAAAAACAATGAAAAGCTGAATTTATAGGTCTGATTTTTCAATAATTACTGATAATTGTAGGGATAAAATAACTCTGATCGACTTGTAATCTAATTTCTAAGCATAAAACTATGATTTTTCTCTTGTCAGTACAACTGTCGGAGTTCATTGAAAAGAATTTTGTAATTATTCTGAGAGAAGACCTAACTGATATTCGATTACAATCTAATGTCATAGAATACATTTCAATGTACATATTTTTGTCAATGGATAAAAAAGGGAATCTGTACAACTTTTTCATATATTCTCTGCATATCCACTAAGACGTTGCAAAAAACTGACGTTGGCAAAATATATTTTTGATGTCATACAAAGACAATGAATGCAAAGAACGAAAGAAAAACATTGATAGTGGAAATGCAAGTCGAAGCTTCAATCATTGACCAACAAGTAATTACTCGATTTATTCGAATTTCTGAACGATATTCACATTTGTCGTGTTTTTCATGATCTCAATTCGCGGTTCAGCAATCTACTCTTCGTTCATTTTCGATCCAAAACTCTTGACTTTCGATCTGTCTCTCGAAAACTAATTGTAATGCTATTTGCCAACAATATCTTCTATCTAGATAATTTGACACTTGACAGATTCACTCATTGGGAATCATTTTCATTATATAACATTAATCTCGACAAATAATGAACCAAATGATGAAGGAATTTTGTTTCCTTTCTCATCTTGTACATTTGAACATCATCCGTTGTTATTTTCAGTCTGGATATTGCGACAATATTTGGCCTTTACTTAACCTGACTCACTTCAATCTGGATAGTAATTTTGATAGCGAGTGTTCTGTTGCAACAATTGTGAAATCATTTTGTCTTTGATCCATTGCAGTAAGTCGTTTAGAAGACTGTGTCAATCAATAGCTATCATTTATGATATCCTTCATAGAAATACTGACGTTATCGTTTGGAGATTCTACAGCTAGATTCAAAAATCTTGTGCAATATATGCAAACTTACCTAACTGATAGTTAGCATACAGTATCTTTATTTAGACAGACGTAACATTAATCATGAAAAACAAGTTGATGAAATACTTGATTCATTTCGAACTCGTTTTATAGATTGATAAACATCGATGGTTTACTCCCGAGACCAATATGCAAATTCAAATCGACTTGTTCCTATGATAATACGTAGTTACCATTTGTATGATTGTATGAACGATTGGTCTTGCTACATTGATAGATTTTCTTCGGATTCACTGTCAAAAATTAGAGAAGTAAACGTATTTTCTAGATGATCACTCGCTGCACAACAACTAAAATATCACAATCAGTCAATCCTTGTGAACAAAATTTAACTTCATTGTTGGATGAACATCGTGTAGATTGTTGTTCGAATTCTTCATTTCGAACTTTTTTCTTGCTGTAGTTTTCTGTCATTGTGTATTTTGTATGTACCAGATGCATTTTTTTTGCGTTGATAGAAATTAAAAAATGTCTGTTAATAATTCTATCTTCATTTCTGCGCTGTTTTTTTCCATTGTTTTTTCGCAACGTCAGAAATGAAAAAACGAAAGCCTTTCAAATGTGTGTGTGCTAGTGATGCAAACTAAAAATGAGAGAGAAAGAAATTTGATCCAAACGATGTTTGTCTATTGTTTTGATTCACATCATATTTCTCTTGTTCATCAGTTCCATTATTTTTTTACTGATACTGTTGATCAAGGCAATATTTTCTATAGAAACTTTTGTATTAATTTATCAAAAATGAAATTATTTCGCTGACATATTTAATAAACTATAACTGAAAAATTGCTTTTGCAAATTAAGCGCAAGTAACATATGATGTTTTCCATTTGATTCAATAAAGGTAAAGTGCCAAGTAAAATAAGAATGAATGGAAATATCAACAAGGGAATAGTAGTAAATTTTACTTTATTAAAAATTGAAGATTTTAATCAATTTATATTTCATTTAAAGATGAATCACAAGATTAAGAGCTTTAAAAATATATGCGATACAGAGTCAAAGTTCTCCGAAAAATTAAAAACAGATACGAATTATGATTATACTGTTGAACGGATTTCAACAGTACCAATGACCTTCTTGAATATACTATTCATAAAATGTTGACTTGGTTCGACAAGAATTATATTTGAATCTGTCGGATCAACTTTCCACTTGAGATATCTATTGACAATTACATTGTAACTTGCTTGTGGATAATGCAAAAATGGAACATAGATTTCTGTGGGCTTATTGATCGTTTTATCAGCGTAATAGTACAAATTGAAAACTCGTTTATCAGGATGATATGCCATCGAAATAGGTGTACCAGCAATAGCACGAGCATAAACACGTGATAAACGTTCAATCAAAGCCATGCTACTGTAACTATTGCCCCAATAAGTCCATGATTGAAGATATTTATCGGCTTCAAGCATACCAGCTTCAAGTTGATTGTCACACACCGATGAACCATCACATCCACCAAATTCAGTTAGAAATCCAGCACCGCCCAATCGAAAAAGTTCATTCTAAAATTATATTCA